CGCTCCCGAGTCCTGGGTGGCCGGGTGGATACGCTCCCGAGTCCTGGGTGGCTGGGTGGACGCACCCGAGTCCTCGGCGTCTGAGTGGACACACCCGAGTCCTGGGCAGCTGGGTGGACGCTCCCGAGTCCTCGGCGTCTGAGTGGACACGCTCCCATGCTCTGGGCTCCCCTGGCCCCAGGCCTCTCCCAGCGTGGTCTCCAGATGTTGTCACGGAACCCTGAGACCTGCCTCCTCAGTCCGTAGTGAGGTCCAGGGTGACCAGTGGGGCGTCTAGTCTTCACAGGAAGCCCCGCATCCTGGGGCCCCAGGCCAGCTGGTCAGCCTGGCCTACTCCGCGTCTCCGTCAGGGTCTGTCTCAGGCTCAGGCTGCAGGGACCTGGCCAGATCCCAGGGTCCCGACTCCACCTGGGACTGGCTGTAACCACCATCAGCAAGCTCATCCAATTCTGCCTCAAATCCCTTTTTCTCCTGAGATGTTTTAATTGAGGAAAACACAAAGCGTCACAGAGAAGAACCAGGAGCGCCCGGCACCCGGCACCCCACACTTTCTCCTCTGGGCCATGAACCACACCTCATAGACGGCTCACTTCCACAGTCTGGGGTGAGTGTGTATAGGCAGCCCTAGGGCATTCTGGCCTGGACGTGGGCACGCATGCAAATGCACACATGGTACACACACACACACACACACACACACACGGCACACGCAGGCGGCTGGACACATGGCACACGCAGAACACGCAGGTGGCCGGACACGTGGCACACGCAGAACACGCAGGTGGCCGGACACACGTCTCTTCTCTCTCCTGAGTCACACGGGCGGCCGAACGTTCATCTCTTCCCCCTCCCAGCCTGGACACGAGGCTCTTCTCTCTCCTGAGCGCTGCGCTGCCCTGCACCCTGGCTTTTCATGCTGTGAATCCCCTTCCAGGTCAGGAGCCCAGGCTGACTTTCCTTGTCCCATGCCTGGCCCTGCCTCCCCGCGGGCCGTTTTCTGCTTCTCCACCAACCTCTCCCTTCTGCACCCTTCCCTGTGCCCTGGGCAGCCCACCTGGCACACCAGCGAGGCCCCTGCTGCTGGCCATCCCCACGGACTTGTGGTTGTGCGTGGCATCTGGTAGGGACTCGGCTCGTCTCTGTCCTCTCATGGCTCAGCAGACACCGGCCCCAGCCACCATCTCTGCCTTTTTACCCTGGGCTGGGGCCCTGATGGCTGCTCTGCTGCCACCTCCTGGGGCCTCCTGCGCCATCTGGGGGGACCTGCCACCCTCTCATGCCTGGGCCAGGTCCACCTCCCTGGGGCGCCCGTGATGTGCGTGTCCCGGGTCTGTGCCCTCCACCCTGATCTGCGGCGGGTGCATCCCACGCCCTGCCGCCATGACTGACGCTTCTGTGGGTGTCCCAGGGCAGCATCTGTGCAGCCAGGCCACGTGTGCGAAGCCACAATTCCGGGAAGGGGATGCGGGTTCCAGGTCACGTCCACTTACAATTCTGGCAGCTGTGGCAAACCCTCCTGATACACGACCGACCGGTTGACTCGCCAGCCACAGCCGAGGCGCCAGTCTCTGCGGCCCTGCCAGTCTCTTAGGGAGACTCACTCGCGTTGAGCTGATTTGCATTTTTGTGATTATGAATGAGATGGAGCATCTGTTTGCGTCTACTTGCCGTTTTAATTTTTTCCTCTAAATCCCTGTGTGAGGACTGTGCTTTCTCCGCTGGGCTGGGCCTGCCAGGTGCCTCTGTGTGTCAGGGCTGGCCTCAGCCTGGGCACTGCCTGCACGCTGGCTGGTCTGTTGCTGGCTTCTAAGGCTTTTCATGCGTCTTCTCACATCCGAGAGCTCTAACATGTGGAATCTGACCTGTTTTTCTTCAGCAGCTTCGTAGGACAGTGCTCTCCACCCCAAGGTGAAAGGGACAGCTCTGTTTCTGCTGACATTTTTATAATTTTAAAATATCCAGACCTAATCTGTTTGAAGCCTCGCTCTCTGGGGTGTGAACCTGGAGAGCCCCCTCGGATGGCACAGTAAGGAAGGCTCCTCTTGCCACCCGAGACACTGTCCTTACAGCCAGGGAGCCTCACACTTGCAGGTCCCTCTGCGTGGCCGTGGGAGAGGGGCCCCTCAGAGCCCAGAGGACGCAGTTGACCCTCAAGGCGCAGAGCGATATGGAGCCTGCCTTGTACCAGTGCAGGGAGCTCTGCATTTCTGCCTTCCGGAAGCTTCTGACCTCAAGGACAGGGCGCCCTGAAGGAAGGAAACACAATTGTGTGCTGCCCATGGTGGTTGGGAGGCAGTGGCACGTGGGGAAACGGGTGTCCACGGGAGCATGGTGCTGGAATCTGTGGAGTCCCACTGTTGGAATCTGAGGAACTGCGGTGTTTGAGCCGCCAGCTAAGAGCAGCCATTTGAGTGAGTTTCCCGGGGCGATGTTGTCAGGAGAGTCCCCTCTCAGGAGACAAGGACACCAGACGCCCCAGGACAGCAGGATGAGGCTGGACAGAGGTGGGGCTGGACCACAGGCCAGCATCTGGCAGAGGAAGGGAGGCAGGGGCATGCTCTCCAGGCCTGCGGGCCACAGCAAACCTTGTGCGCCGTCCTGGGAACACCAGATGGCCCTGCCTGGCTGGGCTTGGCAGTCAGTGAGGAATGTAAGGCTGTGGTGGCCCCACAGGGTCATGGGGTGTCCCTTATGCTGTGCTGAGATGCAGGATCCGAGAGGTAAAGAGACAGGACACTGAAGAACTAGTGAAGAGCATCTGGACTCGGGGGGCCATGCCACCTGTGAGTGGAGATCAGCGGCGGCCCCCAAATGCCCAGGAGCATCTGTATTTATTAGGTACAAGCAGGGGGCAGGGTCGTGTGTGAGGTCATCATCTACAGACTTGGTAATAGGGCATACATAATCACATGAGTTACAAGTGAGGGGACCACGCCATTGTGTCACCTGGGCAGAGATGTGGGCCGTGTGCAACAGTGCGCTGTGCTGTGCGCAGTAGCAGAGGGCTGTGTACAGAAAAGGGGTCCACCCCCATTAGGTCACCGAGGCAAGGAGGCGGGCTGTGTGCAGCAGGTGTCGTGTGCAACACTTCTTATCTGGGGGCTGGAGACTTCAAAGGATTTCTATTAGAAGGATACTGTAAGCCAGTGCAGTGGGAGCTGACAGACGTGTGCTCTTCTCTTAAGACATTTATGGGAGGATGATTTGAGCCAGCACAGAAGCGATAAGAGACGGACCAGGTGTACAGCCGCGTGACTGGTCACACCAGAGGGGTTCTTCTCCCTTGGTGACTTCCAGGATCTCAGGCCTGAGGCCGACTTTCCACATGAACTGGATGCAAGGTGCTACAACTCCTTTCTCAGGAGGAGAGGCTCCTGCTCCAAGCCTGCCATACGGCGTTTGCCCTTTCAGGCAGGGACGCCACTGCCTGGGTCTTTGGTTCTCGTCCTGGTCTGGCTGTTTTCCCATGTGCTGCTTCTGTTCTGTGACTGCTCTAGGCATTCCTCCCACTACAAACTACTATGTGGTTCTATGGAAGGATTCTATAAATCAGCACTGAATGTGTCAGTACAGCTCCGACTACAATACCTGTATGATTATATAGAAGGATTATACGGAACTAAGTACATTAGATATAAGTACTATGTATGATTATATAAGCTAGACATATGGAAGCAGTAAGTTATACTTCAGGCACTAATTCTATAAACTAATATGTGATTATATATGAGGGATTATATAAAGAAAATAGTTGAATAATAACACTATAAACTAAGATATTCTTCAGGTACTAATTGTGCCTAGGGTGTGGACAGTTCTCCTTCCTCGGTGCCCATGGGGGTGTTACCCACAGGGGAACAGGCTGGAGGGGAGGCTGGTCAGGCCACGGTCAGCTGGGCATGCAGCGGTCACAACTTGGACTGGGAAGCCAGGTGAAGGAGGTGGAGGCTTCCCTTCCAGGCCTCGGTGTGGTCTCCGGCCTGTGGCTGCCACTGTGCCCACCGGCTTGCGATGGGCATCCCAGTGGCTCTGGCCTCAAGTGGGGACACAGCCTGGCCACCTGCAGGACGGAGGATGGCACACCCAGAAGCTTCCCCATGAGACCTG